TTTCACAGATAATAACTAGGAAAAAGTCTTCAAACTAACACGACTATAACAACCTGAAATTGTCCAGACACACTTTGATCTTTGTCCGTGTGAAACAGATATTTAGTTTAACAGAGAGAACATTTATGTATGCGATTAAATCGGATACCAACAGAGAGAAGAGAAAAGTAAAAGTCTTATTTTGCTGCTGCCAAAACGTCAAAAACAATCATAATTTACAAATGAATTAAACGAAAAGAAAGAAAAAATGTGATATTAAAATGACGGTTGACGAAACTCCGAAAAAGTACATTTTTCCTCTTATACACAACACAACTGAAAAGAATACACTGACGAGAGTAAAAATCAGTTCAAAAAATCTAGTTGTGCATTTCTCTCTTTCTCAAATAATGAAAAATATGTTTCTCATTTAGAAAGAAGACATTTACATAATACTGACGGTTGACGAAACTCAGAAGAAAAGTACAATTTTTCTCACATGTACAGAAAAGTATTCTGATAGGTAAGCAACATTATTTCATGAAGAAAAACATATTATTACACAGAACGATACTTCTCAATACCTGTGTTTATTCAAAGTGATTCAGATTGACCATATCTCACTTTAAAAAGCATTTTGGACAATTTCAGGTTGTTATAGTCGTGTTAGTTTGAAGACTTTTTCCTAGTTATTATCTGTGAAAAACGGTTAGTATGAAAGCGATTAGAGTTGTTGGTAGAACGTTAGAGGGGATCTATTTCTGACAGACCTATTTAACTTATTTTTGTAACAGAAACTTGAAGTAACGCGCGGGCAAACATACTGTCCGAGACTTTCATGTATCACTGTTCGGGTGTGGCAGTATTTCTTTCGAAGCACTCCGGTTAGTCGTCCCTGATGCCTGGTAACTTCGAATGCCGCGTAGGTTTTCGACTATTCTGAACCTCGTGGCGACTTTTGTTTGTAGAAAAACTGCAAAAACCCAGTGGAAACCTCTATTTGGCGAAATAATTAGCTCGGTCAAAATCAATCAAGGTACACTCTGTTTTATCTACGCTACACCCTAATGCTCAATAAAAATTTGAAAAATACATAAATCATCTGTTGGACTTGTTTTTTTTATCAATAGATTTCCCCCCAATATTTTCTATAAACCGGCGAAAACGTTACTTCTTTATCATTTGTCTACCAAAATTTATTTTCAAAAGAATTCTCTGCACTGTATTTTTCAATGGATAATAGTTCTAATGCTCTTTAACGATGCCGAAAGGGTCAATACAGACTCTGTACATTTTCTCTGTAGATAATCTCAGGGTCCGTATTTTCTCTTTTCATCCAGTACAGTTCGAAATTCTTCATTCATTTCTAATTGTTCAATCTGTCATGCTCCACTTCAGTATAATCCTCAATGATCCGGGGAAGGTTGTAGTCATTATAGAATAACAATCACTTGAAACAACGTCGGCAGTGCGTGATCAATGCAGGAATGCACCATTTTGCTATAATTGGAATTTTTACCAAGAAATGAGATAAAATTTCAAATGTCCAGCCGGCTATGTCCCTTTTACAGCATAAACTAATTTACACAATAATGCGATGAGATGCTGGACTATGCGAAATTTTTAACAATGTCGGAAAACATAAAAATCAATATTGAAAAGAAGTATCTATTTTCCGTAAAGAGCTTCGTTCCGAAATGATTGTGTGTTGAGTGACTTATCAAAAATGCAGAGGTGCAGAAGACAACATCTTAGAAATGTAAAATTTGGAATCAATAGTAAGTTTTATATTGAAAATTGAACGAAATACGTGATAGGTGTCTTATAAATCTAGAGATACAGCAAAGAAGCGAGCACTGAGGTTGATCTTTTGCTGGAAATTAGAAAATGGGAAAAAATGACGAAAAGAATGTTCATGAAGTCAACACAAATATAGTCAACAAACAACCGACTCAAAAAAACGGCATCATCTATAATCATACAGATTGTACAGTATCAAATTTTCTCACAATTGTCAGACGGGTTCTCGATCAGTCTTTTGGGATGTAACAGAGTTAGCGCTATTGGACTAAATATTATGACATTATTGGAATTTCAAACTAATTCGTTCCTAACATTTTCCAGCTTCAATTAAGGGTATCTCCTCTTGTTTGCCGCTCCTGGAAACCGGGGAAGCCGATGTCGGATGAGGTCAATATTTATACCAGAGATAGAACATTGAAAAAGAATCGATACATTTTTGCCCAGGCTTATCTGAAGTGTTTTTCTATGGGTTTTCATCAGACCACATTACGACCATTCGAAAAAATGGTCCGATCGAGCTCAGAATTTTACGACAGATACTTCAGGCCCTATCTTAGGTTCGTTCTTTTTCTTTTCGGAAAATATTCTTTTCTTCTCGAGATATTCGAAAAGCACTAAAAGTCCCATATAAAAAACCGGTTTTTCATTTTAAGAACCTTTTCATGCCGAAAGCTGGAATCGAAAACGGTTAAAAAGAACGAACCCGAGATAGGATCTGAAGTATCTGTGGTAAAATTTTGAGCTCGATCGGACTATTTTTTCGAGGGGTCGTAATGTGGCCGATTGAAGGGACTATCGACAAAACGTTTTGTGAGAAAAACACATATTATACACAGGGCTCGGTTTTTCATGGCATTTGCGGTGATGCTTATATCTCCACAAAGGCTCATTAGAAAATTCTGCGAGACGTCTCATTTTGAAGAGCACACTTTCTTCTATTGTGCTATTTATAAGAAAAAGTTTTAAATGTACAGACAAGGAGAGGAAAATTTACGAAACTGAAAAACTGACATTTTCCAGGCTTTGAAGGAAAAACTTAAAAACTCCATAACGTTTTCAAGGAAGATCATTGAGAGCTGGGAGTGGTTTCATTTTATAGCCCAGACTTTCCTCCACATTAGACTGTGTGCAGCTCAAAATGAAAAGTTTCTGCAAAAAAGAGAGCGAGGGGAAGGGTTACCCTTAAAGATTTAGCACACGAACGAAGAATATAGAGAAATCTTGTAGAGACGATTATTAACATAAAATACCCAATCTGAAATGACAGCTTCTAAGACAAATTAAACTAAGCTCCACAAAGTGGAGTAGAGATATTTTAAAAAAGAAAAAGTTTTGACACAACAATCGATCAACGCTCTATAGACTGTAAACTAATACTTCGGCAGTAGTCCTGATGGCTGATAGTTGTTCCGTCCGGTTTTCTTTTCTTAATATATTTTTCAATATAGTACCATATTACAATTTTGTTTTGTAAGATATAACATCTGTTCTCGTTCTTTTAGTTTCATGTCGGTATGTAGTTAAATAACGGATATAACAGAATGAATGGCCTCTTTTATATTTTCACTCTTCTTCTGTTACTCATATCCTATCGAACGATGTTTCACCTTAAAAGGCGCTTTTAAAATCAAATGTCGTACAGCTTTTAAAAGGAGTCGCTATTCAAATCTTAACTAGAGCCTGATGATTTTGTTAAATAAAATGTGATACTGAGAAGTTCTGTAAAATTCCAGAATACAAGATAAAATTAAGGTAAAAGACAGTTTTTTAAATTCACCATTTTTCTATGATTGTGAGAAAAAAATAACTCTTCATTTTATAGTTTTTGAAAAGATCTCTTTTTCCAGTGATTAAACTTCTTTTATATCAACCATGATTGTGTAAGAGAACTTTTGCTTTTTCAGCTTTTTAGGTCGCTGTTTTCTACTGCTGTTATGGGATACTTTGCAAACTCAAATCATTTTGTCAAATTTATTGTTTGAGCTGAAATATTTTTTACTTCAAGGAAAAATGACCAACGAATTGTATTCAAACATCAGTTTTACCCGTTCACAACCAAAAAGTCATTTTCTGTTACCCGCATAATTTTAATGATCGTTACTTTCTATGATGAGAACGAACACATCTGGAAGTACACAAAAACCTACTCGAATACATTTCGATGCGCCTATAACTGCTAAAAAAATACTGTCTTTGTACTTTAGGACTTTATGAAATTGTTCGTATAATTTTTATTTTCACATTTTACAAAAAAGGGTTGATAAGTCCTGTAGAGGATTAAATGATCACTCTTTTAACATAAAATGTAACTTGACAGATTATGAAAAACAGGAGCATAATGAAAAATAAAAGAAGAATCATTCCTCCATCATGATTGCTCATTACTTCAAAAATGTTTCTTCATATATATTTGATGTGCTTTTTATTGTAACTTAAAATCAGTTGGACTTAAAATTTAACATGAAAAATTGCTCCTTGATCGTGCGGTAAGTAAATAGATGCTGATAACAGACAGTCAAAGAACTATAAAAAAAATTTTTTTATCAGATTGATTGGCATACTACTAGTTTCCTACATCATTGTTGGGCCTGTCGAATCGCTAAAATTTAATGAAAACGGAACAACAGTTGCAGGTGGAAATGGTTATGGTTCAAATCTGAATGAACTTGCTTATCCATGGGGACTATCTGTCGATAATGAAATGAATGTTTATGTCGTTGATCAGAATAATCATCGTGTTGTAAAATGGCTTCGACAAGCTTTGACGGGCGAACTTGTCGCCCTACGGCTATCTTTGTTGATAAATTCGAGAATATGTACATTTGTGATGAAAATAATGACAGAATTCAGTTATGGAGAAAAAATTCAACAAATGGTGAAACGATCATGGATGGATATCATCAAAGAATTATGGGATGTAACGGGTTATTTGTAGCTGACGACGGTACTGTCTTTTTGTCGGATACTGACAATCATCGAGTATTGAAGTGGTCATCACTACAAAACTCAACGATTGTTGTTGCTGGTGGAAATGGAGAGGGTAATGCATCTAATCAATTAGATTATCCAATGGGTATTTATGTTGACGAGGACGTTTCTGTTTACATTGCTGATCGTTCGAACCATCGTGTCCAAAAATGGCGTCGTAACTCATCTGAAGGTATTACAGTTGCCGGCGGAAACGGCGAAGGATCAGATTTGAATCAACTCTATGCTCCCGAATCGGTTATTGTCGACAACGACGGAAGTGTGTACATAGCAGATCAACTGAATAATCGTCTGGTCAAATGGGATGTCGGAGCAAAAGAAGGCATAATAATTGCTGGTGGTAACGGTGAGGGAAAGCAGGCAAATTAACTGCATTATCCTACTCAGTTAGCATCAGATAGACTCGGAAATATTTATGTTACAGATTTTATGAATGATCGTGTGCAAATGTTCGCTGTTTGTGATACGTTTTAATAAAACTAACAGTAATCGTGAAACTGTTTTTCTTTTCGAAAAATCAATCTTTCGATGTATAGTTCAGTTTGAATGCATTATACTATATAAGAGAAAAAACCCACCCTTAGAAATATTCGAAAACTTTCTTTTAATGGATAAAAATGCCAGAAAAACCGTGAAAAAGTTAGGAAATTTACAAGATAAATACTTTTAAACAGTTAATGGCCTTTATTGACGTCTGCACCAATATTAGTATGATTCTATAATTTCGTAGTTTAAAGTTGTTAAAGTTCTGTTAACCGGTTTTCCGAAAATATTGAATTAGGAATCTTGTTAAACATAAATCGGGTCCGGAAGGTGGTACATAAGGTACCTGATCTTATGTAAGGATATGCCATCATCCTCTGGCATTTCATTATCTTATCTGAATAATATTATTGTTACATAGTGTTAATACATATTTTTGGCTGCGTCCCTTTTCGTCCTTGCTTTTTCTTACGGACATCCGACAGAATAGTCCGTTCCGAGTTCCCGCTTGTTTGAAAAACTCTAGATGTTCGAAACGAAAAGTCCGGAAGAACGGAATGCAAAAAGATCGGATGTTCGGAACGATAATCAAAAAAAATCGAGATGATCGGAATGAAAGTCGTCCGGGTGTACGGAACGCCATGAACCGAGGCGTTTTAGTGTTTTTGTACACAACAATGTCGTAACAGCAAAGAACGGATGCTCGTTAAAATATAGTTTATTCTCTTTTCTTTTGTAGTATAAAAAATTTTCAGACAACAAATAACGGAAGCCGTCAAAAATAACAGAATGCGTAGAACGTAGAAGTAGACTATATTCTACGCGTGGAAAAATCTATGCGTAGAATATATTTGTCTACGCATTGATATAGATCATTATCATTCTCTCTCTTTCTTTTTCTCTTATTTTTACAGAAAGAGAAAATGCGGTGGTCATACAGAACAGAAACATTTTCGTTTTCAGTTATAAATTACACAGCCTAACACTATTATAAAGCTGAACTATATTCTATACAAGATATACTCATGCACGGCTTTATATGCAAAAGTACACACTAATCTTTATTTCGACAGCAATCATTTCCATTTTAGAATTTCAGAATAGTCATTCTTTAGAAAGGCAAGTTTTATTAACATCAGAAAATGAAATAGAGGAATATTATGTTAGAGTTATATCTTGGTTAATGATTCCAGGAATTATGTCTTGTAATATCGACTGCCGACACAAAGACATAACGATTATTACAGCACTCGCATGAACCAAATTTATTATGCAGATGAGAAGCATCGGGTTTTACGTTTTTTTGTCCGATTATACATGAATGAATAGTTTGTAAAAATGTTTTATAATGATTAGGATGGAGAATACAAGGTGATGGTGCCGGCATTCTATTGTAACAAATTGAAAGTAGTTTCATTGTTAAGTTCGCACGAATTGGATTTGTAGAACAATGAAAACAATTAATATCACGACATTTTATGAGCATATACGAATAATGTGATTTAACACAATGTTTTAATAAAAATAAATAGTCACAACATAAAGTAGATTGTTTATTAGGTTTTTTTTTCATTAATAGTAAACGCGTATCATTATGATCAGCACCTATT